CCTCTCCCTCTCCCTCCCTCCCTCCCTGCCTGCGGTGCACCGGGTCCACCGGGTCCATTTTTGCCCTTTCATCGGACCTGGCTGGACCATAGCCAAACCGTGCGACGCACCTTACCTTACTATTCTATGTGCACGTGCACGGTGAAATATGTTCCTTGATATCCAAGGACCATCGGACGGAATCGTTCTGATGGTCCTTGGACTGAACAACAGGGAACAATTTCCAATGTGTGGTATTCGATTCGCGTGTTCGAGCGGTGTCTGTGAGCTACAACAAAATTTTGTTGTACAGTACGTGATTCGGATGTGTTGACAAAGGGCATGTCTATAAACTGGGTACAACAATGCACTTATTGTGTCCACCTGGGCTGGGTCCCAATTCTCATCCTGAGTCGATCGGTCTGGGTCGGTCGGTCGGTGCGAGAGAGATAGCATCCATTTGAATTGCATACATCCGTCTCTCTCGCACCGACTGACCGACCCGAACCGACCGACTCGAAATGAGAATTGGGACACACAACCCATTCGGTGCTGCGACTGGCTTGTGAGCCTTGACCGGTCCTTGACCTCCGCGTCGTGGTTGCAGGTCCGGCTGGCCGTCATGCAGCGCGTCTACCGCTACCTGTCGCTGCGTCCGCACCACTTCCAGCCGCGGCGCAACTCGGCCTTCTCGGGCGTGTACGTGACCGCCGAGCCCAGCCTGGGGCTGCCCTCGCTGCCCCGCCACCACACCGTCGAGCTGGACGTGGGGGCGGCGGCGGCCGCGGGGGCCACGCCGTGCAGCGGCGGTGCCGAAGCCCCCAGCGCGGACCCCGGCGCGGCCCCGGGGGGCACCGCCGAGGTGCACCGCGGAGGTGACCGGAGCCTCAAGCGGGGCCCCCGCGGCCGCGCCGGTCTGGCGCTGCTCTGCTGCCGCGCCGCCCCGCTGCGCCCCTCGCCCCGCCGCTCCGCGCCCGACGGGGCCGACGCCGCCGGGGCCCCAGGGGGGGCCGCCGAGTAAGTGCCACCCCACCCTACCGACCGGAC